TAATACAAAATTTTAAGAAGTTTTTGTGTGCTGACTACATTTCTTAAGTACAACTAGTTAAACTAGAAGTTTGTGATTAATCATTGTAGAAAAGCACAGCAGTGCTGTTGCACTTTCTGAGCACTTCTGCTCCCTTGCTGGGTGCCTGGGAACACAGCCTTGGTAACCTTAGTAACCTGTGGGCCTGGGACAAAGGCAAAAGTCCTTGATTTGCATCAGAATCTAGCTGGCTGTATTAAAGCAAATCTCTTTAGAGACTTTGCTTTCAGATCTAGTTGGGTGCCTATCAGCACCCACGTGAGAAGAGAATTTTTTTCTCTGAAGATGGCTTAGTGACTCAAGCCTTATTCCTGTATCTCTAGGGGTAAAGGCATAAACAGTTAAATTCCTTGGGTTATGATCTTATGTTATCTGAAACCAAGGTGGGGAGTAAATATAGAATATTAATAGCTTGTTAGCTTACAGCAAAAGGCCAGTAGATTACATCTTCATGAGCCTGATGCTAGAAAATTTAGGGCTATGCAGACCTGTTTATCAAAGAGAACAAATTGCCTCTCTGCTCAGTACCTCCTGCTTAGGACTCCTTTCTTTTTTTAAAAAAAAAAAGTTTATTAAATTATAAAAGTTTCCATTTCTGCCCCTCCTCCCAACACCCTCCCACTTCCCCCACTCCCTCTCCTCCTCCCTCTTCATCCCTAAGAGTAGTCAGGGTTTCCTGCCCTGTGGGAAGTTCAAGTTCCTCCCCGCTCCCTCCAGGTCCAGGAAGGTGAGTATCCAAACAGACTAGATCCCAAAAATCCAGTATATGCAGAGGAAACAAGTTAGGACTCCTTTCTTGTCAATGAATCCTGTCAATAAGGATAGTTGTGGGAGACAAACAAAAAGATTTGACCATTAGAACATAGGTTTCACTGAGTGAATACTTTCACACCAAGGTTTCACAGTGTGGAAAACGGTATACAGTTGCTCATACAGGAAAAGTCGGGTTTCAAGAATGATTTATACACGGTTGTAATATTATGGAAGAAAGAAATGTCATGATTTCACAAGTTTTCTACTTAATTGACAGTGGCTATCCAAAATACAAGTGTTCCCTATGTTCCTCAAGTGGGGTTCCTCATATGGATTGTACAAATTCCCATGAGTCTCTCCAGTGGTCTCTTAGCTGAGGGCTCATATCACTGGTGAGTGGGAGAGAAACATCCATCTACAAGCTGCTATGAACATAGTTGAGCAAGTATCACTGTGGTATGGTTAAGCATCCTTTGGGTATATGCCCAGGAAGTCTTGAGGTAGATCAAGTCTCAGTTTTCTGAGAAACCAACATATTGATTTCCAAAGTTGCTGTAAAAGATTACAATCCCACCAGCAGAGGAAGAGTTTTCCCCTTCTGCCACATCATCTTCAGTGTAGGCTCTCATTAGTGTTTTTGATCTTAGCCATTCTTACAGGTATAAGATGGAATCTCAAATATATTAATTTTCAAACCCCTAATAGCTAAAGATGTTGAAAAATTATTTGTTTCTTGGCCATTTGACATTCTTCCATTGAGAATTCTCTTTAAATATATACACCATTTTTAATTGAGTTATTTTTTAATGTCTAGTTCTTGATTTCTTTCTATATTTTGAATATCAACCTTCTGTCAGATATGGGGTTGGTGAAGATTGTTTCACATTCTATAGGCTGCTGTTTTATACTATTGACTATATCCTTTGTCTTACAGAAGCTTTTCAGATTCATGAGGTCTCATTTCCTGTGGATCTTAGTGCCCACACTATTGGTGTTCTGTTCAGAATGTTGTCTCTTGTTCCAATGTCCACCTGTTCATCTATCAGGTTCAGTGTATCTGTATTTATGTTGAGGTCTTAGGTTCACTTGAACTTGAGTTTGGTAGAGGATATATAAACTATATATAAAAACTATTTATATTCTTCTACATGGTGACATCCTGTTAGACCAATAGTATTTGGTGAAAATGTTTTCTGTTTTCATTGTATAATTTTAGCTTCATTCTTAAAAATTAAGCGACCATAAATGTGTGAATTTACATATACATCTTCAGTTCACATATACTGAGCAACCAGTATGTACTTACATCAATACCATTCAGTTTTTATACAATTGCTTTGTAGTAGAGCTTGAAATCAAGTAGTACCTCTGAAAGTTCTTTAATTGTACAGGATTGTTTTAGTTATTCTGGGTTTTTTGTTTATTCTTAAGAAAATGAGTATTGGTCTTTCAAGCTCTGCAAAGAATTGTGTAGGAAATTTATTGGGGATTGCATTGCATCTGTAGATTGCTGTAAGTAAGATGGCCATTTTTATGATGTTAATCCTACTGATCTAAGATCATAGGGGAACTTTCAATCCTCAAATATCTCCTCCAATCTCCTGCAATTGTTTTCTTTAAAGACTTGAAGTTCTTGCCAAACAGGTCTTCTATTTCCTTGCTTAGAGCAACCAAAAGTTATTTTATATTATTTGTGGCTATTGTGAAGGGTATTGTTTCCCTGATTTCTTTCTCAGATTATTTATTGTTTGTACATATGAGGGCTACTTTTTAAAAAGTTAATTTTGCATGCAGTCACTTCACTGAGTTCTTTATCAGATGTAGGGTTTCTCTGGTACAATTTTGAAGTGACTAATGTATATCATTGTATGATCTATGAATAATAATAGTTTGATTTCTTTCTTTCCAATTTGAATTCCATTAATCTTATTTTGCTGTCTTATCATTCTAGTTATAATATCAAGTATTTTATTGAATAGATATGAAGAGTGGACAGCCTTGTCTCTTTCTAATTTTAGTGAAATTACTTTAAATTTCTCTCCATTTAATTTAATGTTGGCTGTTGGCTTGGTGTATATTGCTTTTATTAGGTTTAGATAAGTCGCTTGTAGCACTGATCTCTCTAAATCTTTTGTCATTTAAGTGTGCTGGATTTTGTCAAAGGCTTTTTAAGCATCTAATAACATAATAATGTGGATTTTTCTTTTACTGGTGGTTTACATTGATGGAATTTCATATGTTGAACCATTCCTGTTTCTCTGTTATGGAGCCCTCTTTATTGTGTTGGATGATGTTCTTGGATTTGGTTTTGAGTATTTAATTGAATATTTTTGGATTAATGTTTATGATGGAAATTGGTTTCCTTCTTTGTCTTTTAATCAGTTTGTGTTGCCGCTGAAATTTTGGGTTGATTCTGAGGTTACATTTTCAGTATTATTTCAGTTCGTGTTTTCTTAGTGATTTTACTTCTTTATTAAGTTCTACTTTATGGCCTTGAAATATTTTCAGTATTTTATTCAACCATTTGTATTTTATGGTCTTTATTAAGACATTTATTTGCATCCTCTTTAAGGTTTCTGAAGATGTTTATAGCTTTTGCTTTCCAGTCCCTGTCTTCTGTTTCAACTAAATTGCTTTCCTTGGGGCCTATTGCAATACAGTGGTGGCCTCTGGAGAAGGTATATTGTCTTGTCTTTTAGTTTTAGTGCTTTTGCAGTTGGATGCAGGCATCTGGAGTCATGTTGAAATGTTTCCTGGCATAGTTTTCTGGTCTTGCTCTGTAGGTGCTCTGTTCTTTGGTTCCTGTTGCTCACTCTGGATCTTATCCGCATGTGGTGGTTGTGAAATAAGTGCCTTGTAGAGAAACATTCTTCGTGTTGGCGTATGTCAGAGAGGAATGAACAAAG